GAAGCTGTGGCTGCCCCATCCCTGGCAGTGTTGAAGGGCAGGTTGGATGGGGCTTGGAGCAACCTGGGCTGGTGGGAGGTGTCCCTGCCCATGCAGGGGGGTTGGATCTGGATGATCTTGAAGGTCCCTTCCAACCCAAACCAGCCTGGGATGCCAGGATTTTCCACCACCACCTGCAGGAACAGGACAAGCAGGAGAGAAGTGGGCAGGCAGGGCTTTGGGTGAAGCCACAACCTTCTGCAAAAGAGGCCTGACAGCTCTGCTGGGCTCTTTGCAAGAGAAGGGGAGGTTTTACTCTTCCCTCTTGGCATTTGTTGCCAGCTTTTTTAAAGCCTGAAGACTTTTTTTTCCCTGCTCCCCTCCCTCCCAACCCTGAGCTGTTAGGTTGGGGTTATTCTTTCCCCACCTGGGCTCCTTTTTATTCCTGAGACCCCAAACCCTTCCTTGCCCCCCCAGTGCAGCCCCCACCACTCTCCTGCCTCTTTTTGACACTTTTATTTCAATCATCACATTCTCACTTTGGTCACAGCTCGGAAAGGTTGATGTTGGGTGGTTTTTTTTTTTGGTAGCTGTTGTCTTGTTTCTCCTCTAATTTCACCCCTCTTGCTATAATATTATAAAATCATACAAGTGCAGTAATTGCCAGTTGATAATAAATAGGTATTTGTTAGTCCACAAAGTTAAAGTGCTTTGAGAAGGGATGTAAGAAGCTCTATCCTAGATTGAAGGGGGGGAAATGTAGTGCAGTAGGAAGCTCTGGCCTGTTGTCCATGGTCACAAGAGGCAAGTGGCATCTCTCCCCCCCTTGCCAAAAAGCCCCCCCAGGCACTCCTGAGAGTCTCCAAGCAGGCACGAAGCAGGAGCTGTGCTGCTGTGCCAGGTTATTATTGGAAGCATGAGATCAGATGCCCCTCTCCATCCCACGGCCTGGAAAGCTGGGCAGTTTGGGCCTGGGGAGTGGGGAGGGGGGGGGTTGGGAAAGGTTTGGACAAAGGTGTGGGATCACCCCTTGCCTGGAGGCACAGGGAGAGCATCCCGGGTTTCACAGTTTCGTTTTGTTCCCATCAGAGACCTCCAAGCCCAAGGGAAGCAAACCCTGCTCCTGCCCAGCGGGAGGGAGAGAGGTTGGGGGTGGTGGGGACAGGGACAGGCCCCCCTATATGAAC